GCAAGGTACTTTTAAAAAGGTCTTATACAATAGCTTGTCTTTCAAAAAAATATTCCATAACCACTTCACTATCAGAAACCATCTACTTCTTCAGAAGAGCGAAGAGCTCCACACAAGTAAACAAAAGGCACAGATATGGTACTTAGATGAAAATTACTTCATAAAGTCAAAATTCTTTCATCATAGTCTACATGTTCAGGAATTTAAATGACCTACATTCACTGAAACTTAATATAATACTTTAAAAATGTAAAATGTTTGTATGCTTTACTGGTCCAATTTGAGTAATTAATTCGGAGGTATGTTCCGTTGTTTTGGACAATAAAATAATACATATCTCGTCAACTAAAAAAAAAAGTTTTCCATAAAAGGACTTGATTTTGATTGTTCAGTTTGTATGGCAGCTAATGCTAATGTGAGCAGCTTCTTAGGGAATAAGAAGGTGTGCAAATTTCAGATCGGTATCACAAAAAGTCGTTTTTAATCTTCACGAAATGTAAATGGAAATCCTCTAAGCTACTGTACATATGTATGTAAGTACATAATTTACGAAAAACATACAAAACGAGATGTTTTCGTAATTGCAAACTGAGGCAACTCAAAAAAGCAGCTCAAATGCTTTCTTATGAAACATTCCGTGTTAGATTATCATCCGAAGTTCATTACTACTAGCCTACAAAATCCATGTGTATATACAAACATATTATTATGAACGAATTTTAAAGTCCAACATGATGTGTAAAAAACGACGACCTTGGCGCAAATAACCATAAAAATTCACAATCATTCACAACAGAAATTATATGACCGATTTTCATTGGTTTATTTGGCGATCCATCACCTTCCATACGAATTAATACCACAACATATTTATAAATGTAAATAATAAAAACATAAAGGTGGTCACGATTGCTGCAATTGTTCGTGGTAGCATTTAAATATTAAAATTTTCGTGTTTCAGCTAGGTTTTTTAATCTTTTGCACAGATTTATTAAGGGCAACAAAATTGTTAAATATAACTCCATGTGTGGACTTCATTTAAAGCTTAATTTTTATCAAATGTGCCACCATTTTAAAACTGGATTTAAAGCTTATTTTTAATTTTTAATCCTAACTACCGGATTGAAAAATAAAAATGTAAAACTTTAATCTCAAGCATATTATTAAGAACCAAAAAAAACTTATGTTTTCAATTTTCAACTTATAATACAAAACATTTTGGATTAAAAAAATTAAAATCTAATTTAAATTAACAAATTCCCAATATTGACTATAACTCTTATAATATTGCGAGTTGTTTGTTGGATTCACCACATTCCAAGTATTCGTAGAACTAACACAACTATAGTTTGTTTTAAATACTTTTCCTTCTAAGGCTTCAAATATTACTTTTTTAATAAACATACATATTGTATGTATGTATAACTATATATTTATTGACGTTGATTTAACAAAAAAATATTCTCTCTCAAGAAAAACTGTGACAACCTAATGCGCGAATACCTGTACATAAACAAGTAAGTTTGTGTATATAAGTAAATATGTACAATGATATAGTTATTTACGTTGTATACATAACTGCCGCACAAAAGCCATTGAAATGTTATCGCATGAAGTAATGAAAATCATCAGCATTGAATAGAAAAGTTTAAACTCAGCTAAAAACCGTTACCGAATGACACAATTTTCGAGTCGTGCGACTTAACGGTCAGCAAGAAATGAAAAAATGGCCGTAATAATAAACGACGGAGAATCAGCGAATTCCGCAATCGTAAGCCAGTGATTTCAAAAATAAATACACACAGACATACATACAAACAAATGTATTATTGAACGGATGAGCGATTGTGGGATTTTGCAACTTCAGCTGATTTGAAATATGTGGGTATGTGCGTATGTATGTATGTTAGCAGAGTAAAGCAAATGAAATTAGCAAAAAAACTAATTAACAATGAGCGTATAATAAACGCTACAAAAAGTGACAAATAATCTAAGAGCAACAACAGCGAAAACCAAAACATTGCTATTGTCACAAAAAGTGTATCAAAGGCCAAATAAAAAGTGAAGAAGAGGCAATGATAACAATAAAAACTCTTGCAATTAGCTAATATCATAAAGACACGCGCGACTTGTGAATAAAAAGCCAAAACAAAAGCAGTAAAAAGAAAACAACAACTGCAACAAAAAGGTAAGAATTAACATTTTCACGATGTGTAGGAAGTTTGTGTGAAACTTTCTAACAAAACAGCATAAATAAAATTTATATGAGAGAAACCTGCGATGAAAACCAGTGGCAAGCAACAACAAAGGCGTTTTACAATTCGTGACAATGGTCAATGGTGGCGACTGTGAAAGAAGGGCATTGAAATTTCATGTTATGTGAAGTCTTTGGGTTCACCTTTTTTACAGTACTTTTGTTGTGGTTGTAGTTGTTGCTCAACGGCGCACCTTGATTGACTTACTGATACTTCTAAATTAGTGGCAACCAACGCAATGAAGAAAGTGGTTCACATAGTGTAGACATTAGCAGTGAAATAAATTACCCAAGGAGCATCCCGAGCGTGCTTAGGGAACAACTACTTACACACACACACACACACATGTATGTATGTACTTAAAATATATTTATAAGGGAAATCTTACTTGCATTAGTGTTGTTACTATTTACATAAACGAATTAGTTGAGCTGCCGAAAGGCGCTACACTTCACAAGCCATCTACATTAATCTATATGTATTTATGTACATATGTATGTGTTCACTAATTTGACATCACACAAATCCAATGCGGCGCGACGGCGAATAGCGATTAACGCAGCGTTTACTGAACCCGACAAATGAAGTCGCCGCTGGCTGTCAAATGTACATACATATGTATATGTGTCTTGTAATGCAGCGGCAAATGAATGAATTTTTGAATGTGCATAGCGTTTTATGCATGCATGTGTATATGTATGTATGTATGTATGTATATTTGTATGCTTTGCAACTTTGTGTCTGTTTTCCCCCTCCAACTATTTCTAGCAGTCGCTGTGCGACGAACTGTTGACTTTTCCGCTTTTGATGCTCACAGTCGGCGTAGATAACATAGTGTCGATATAAGAACAATAGTTGCAGACAATTAGAAAGCAAACCAAAAGTAGACAAGCGTGGAAAATACAACTTTTCAAAATTAAGAACCTTGATAAAATATGTAAATACATCTGCCCGCATACGTGTTTACACATTTTTACATGGGCGCCAAGCAAATAAAAATAAGAGGGGTGAGGCAAGAAATTTACCTTATGAGTTATTACGAAAAAAAAAACAATTAATGGTATTGTATCTTAGAAGAAAAAACGAAAAAAAAATGTTAACATTAAAATCAATTTTCTCCTTTCAAAATGTCCAATAATTGGTTACGAACTTTTTTTTTCTGTTCGCAAGCCTATACCGAAATAGCAATAAACTTCTCATCAAATATTTAAGTAAAATTGATCTCTCAATTTCTGAATATTTTTTGTAACGAATCACCATTAGCTTATTTCCTGTAATGTATAATAGAAAATATGCACTATATACTCATTTCAACAATATATCAAGAATACTTTTACTATTTTATAGAGAACAAAACCACTACACAAACCTACTTTTATCCAATAGGTTCATTAACCAAATTAAAATTAATAAATCATAACATTATACATAAGGAGTATATCCACTTATAAATTAAAAAGTCGTTTTTTTTACTTATGTATCCTATATACAAATGTATGCACTCCTCGAAATTTGGAAGTTTGTTCGCCAAAGAGTCTCGGATATATGAGCGTAATAATAACAATATTTTAACTTAGTATAATCGGCTACCAAAACTTTAAACGCGTTTTTTTCGGAAACGGCTGGAACGATCGACGATTTTCTTACATATATAATATTTATCACTTGATAATTGAAGGAATAGGATTTTTAATAAAAATTTAAATATTTTAAGCCACTCTGAGTGTAAATTTTTTCACAAAAAACGAATTTTTTGGGAATATCATATTGACTAGTCCTTCGATCATTACCTGTATTCATTTATTGTTATACAATTTTTTGGATTTTGGATTTGAAACAATTTCGAATAGAAAATTTACATCACCGCTAAACCAGGAGGTCCTCCTGGAGATCGGCTACGGGATCAAGGAAATCCAAAATTTTTCGAAATGTATCACCGATTACTAAAGTACAATAATTTTGCAAATTTATTAATTTATTAAATAAAATGTCTTTAAAACAAACTCAAAAAAAACGCGTTTATTTTTATCTGCTGCTATCTGGGGATATAACTGTAGCCTAGGTAAGGTTCTACGAATAAGTTTGCATACATATAACTAATCATATTGATCATAAAATTAATCACCCTATTTGTGCCGCCTCTGCATTTATGAGCATAGACCGTACACGTAGATGCACATACATATGTATGTATAAGAGCGTATATTTATGTACGCCGACATCGTAGCGTATTTTGGTCTCTGAGGGCAACAGTTGCGGGTGGATGAGCAGATAGAATATGTAGATACATTACATAGATTTAGATGTCTGAGATTGTTATTTGCACACATGCATTAGTATTGACTTATAGCGATAAATTTAAATACATATATATATATTTACAGACACAGACGTCAGATGGCTGCAGCAAAATTGAGAGCTTAACGCTCGTCTAAACAAAAACATGTGCCTTATGAATGTATAAATCGATGTTGAATTTCGTTTTGTCTGACATTCGTTGCAGTTATTACCCAGTCATACAGAAAAGGCAAAAATTAGAGAAATAATATAAAAAAATGCTATAAACAAATGCGATTATGACAAATTAATTTACCAATAAATATTTATGTACATATGTATGTATATTTTTGAACGAGCTCAATACAATCAATGGTCATCGATTTATTAAGCACTCGAGATAATTTTCATTAGCCACGACCTAGAGCGCAAACCACAGCCCAAATTAGTATGACCAAGGCCTCTTACCTGAGGGTCGTTTATCTGCTCGATAGCAGCGCAGCAGCAGCAGCAACCAATCGGAATGTCATTCAGCAACAGCCGACACTTTGGACACCTTGGCCACTTTCTGAAGTACCGCACAAAAATTCACGCTTCATAGTTGTAACGGCTTCCGAGCGAAGAATCAAAAAAACAACAGCAAAACACATCTTCCTACAAGATTTATGTTTTAATAAAAATTTGCCTACGCTTTGGCACAGTTATTCGCACAAATTCACACTTTGTTTTCCACTGTTTACACCGCGCACACTTTATATTATAACGCACACGCGCAAGTACATAAATATGTTTGTATGTATGTATTTTTACGTATTTCGTTCTGTATTGGATGTGCTAATTGATTTGTTTGCATTTGCACACACTTCCAGCCACTCTTGCTAATATTTCAATAGATAATACACGCGTTCACAATAAAAATAACAACAAATATACACAAAAAATTGGACGAATTTTGTTTTAGGAAATTATTTCAGTTTTGCAATTCACCGAAAGATTTAAACACTACAAACAATTGGAAAAACATTTTGTTCGATTTGGTGGATGCAAAGAAATGCCAATGCAGCGCCGTTCACAAACGAAAAAATCACCCGCAACGTTTTATTATGAACATCACCAACAACGAATTAGCACTCAACTAACGTTTGACTAAAGCACAAAGTCACACAGCGTTACACTTGGGCTGCATTTGAAAATCACTCAAAGCGAATGCACTCATACAAGCACAGTGGCTACTTTCGACCAGTCAATACGACTCTGTGTCGCAGCTGTTGAGTTGCTGGTGTTGCCACTGGTCTAGTTTTGAGTAATACGTTGTACGGTATTGCGGTTCGCAAATACTTTATACCAATGTGAGCGGAAATAGTTGTTGTTTAAACAGTTGCATGTATTAAATACTATGTAAAACGAAGATTGTGAACTCATTTTGAATTGTGACGCTTGTTATTGTTTTTAAACAACATACATTGTATAACACATTTTTCCAACATTTCAACACAAACAGCCACACTTTTCATAATTTTTGTTTTAAAATATTAAAATATGTTTTAAGTGTACAGATGTTTTAATGACAAATAAAATAATATATACATAAATAAAGAAACACTTGAGAAGTTTGCATAGAAGTCTGCTGCACAAATAGAAGGCATCGCTGAATATACAAGCAAAGAGGAGGTTTACAAAAAGGATTCTAAAAGTTCTGGAAATAAATGCAGTCGCTAATTTTCATTTTAAAAATTTTAGGACTTCGACAATAAACTAGACCACTATCAAAAAATGAGCTCTTTTGCAAAATGTTCGGATCGACAAATATGAATATTTGTAATGGCTATATTTTATTTAAATATTCGAATATTTCAGGTAGAACTCACAATTTTAGGTATATATAATATAATTATTTACAAAATAGTTTTTGTTTCTTTTTTTTCAGGGTTTCCAAAGCACTTATTTTATATTTAATTGCACAATAGCATAATTTTCCAAAACAAAAAGATATAAATTAAAAACGTCAATTAACCTGCGCAAAAACTGAAAAATTCTTCTTTTCTATTTAAAATATTCTCCATTACTGCTAAGCAATCAAAACAACTACTAATTGTATCTGTAAAACGATTATATCGGACGAAAACTTCGTGTATCATTTAATATTAAGGGTCTAACAAGTTTTATTACATATATTTTTAATAATATGTATATACAGCAATTACAAACATACACTTACATTTATCTAAATTCAAACAGGATTTTTTAATACATATAGTCAACTTGTGTCTTGTTTTTTTTTATAAAATATTGTATATATAAAAAACTCATATCTAAAAACAAACAGTATGTAGTTTGGCGTTATAACAAATGGAAAATATTGCAATATCATTATTAAACGCATAAAAAATGCGTCGAAAATTTACACTAGTGAATTACAATATATAACAATATCTGTTTTTTTGTTTTTTAGCTTGACATTAATTATTGTCCCGGAAGACCAAACACTACCGACATAAGCCAACGCACATTTGTATACATCTACGTACATATGTATAAATACTTTATGCACACACTGTCGCAACAATGCCTTACTTTCGAAGTTCTTAATTACATTAAACCAAATATCGATTTCAACTTACTTATAAATATGTGTGTATATGTATATGAATATATTTAACTTTTCTGCTTCTGTTTCAGCTTTATAATTGTTGTTGTTGTCAGATCAGGTCGCATATGCCACATTCAGTTGAGCTTTACGGGGAGCTATAGGAGTTGAAGAACTTATTTTATTGATCATATGAAACAGAACGCGAGTCTTGCGAGACAGTTCTGGAGTCTTCCGGCGATTCTCGTTGTCGTCGCTTCACCGCCCATTCCACGATGCAGAAGCAAGCTGTGCCTATTGTGCCGAAAACAACCAAAATAACCAATTGAGCGCGCAAACCGAGATGTGAGGAGTAGTAGAAGCTTATGGCGGCAGCAATAGACTGAAAGTAAATAGTGAGAAAATATTACTTAGAATAATGAAACTTATATAATATTGGTAAAGCCAACCTGCGTGAATTTGAAGAGCGCGAAGGCGCCCACGGAATTTTTCACATACACACCACCCAACATCGAGTAGATCTGTGTATTCATGCAGGCATCGCCAAGACCCAACATGAAAGCGCATAAAAGAGCAATCCAAGCACGTGGTGGATCCATATACGAGATGTCTTCGGTATCTTTGAATGGCGCATTGTCGGGCAAGTTGAGGAATATCAGAAAGAATGCAATCATATGTATGACATAGCCGGCAATTACGATGGGATCGCGTCCAAAGCGTGTTGTCTTCTTGCCGAGAATGCCGAACAGACCACCGCCGAATACCTCACCAGCGCCTATACAAATGCCAGCCAAGCCAACGATTTCCTTCGGTGTGTTGTGTATCTTCTTCGTGAAACCAATGGATGGTCCATAAACGCCGCTAAAGAAGGATAATTCCATACCTGTAAGCAATAAATTTTTAAATTTTAGGTATTTAAATTAAACTTCGAATTCTTGACTTTAATAAAAGCTTACCAGTATAGAGAAAAGCGACGCTAAGTAAGAGCATATCCCTTGTGATGAAGAGTTGTCCAGCCGATTTGAGCGCATATACTGCGCTACCCCAGCCAGTACGATGCTGTTGTTGCTGGCGTTGCATTTCAGACGTGCCCACCGAATTATCCTCCATGGGACGCAATGCTGCCAGGAATACTATACCTAATACAGCTAAAGCCGTCAGTACACCAATGACCATGGTGCGTGTGCCCGCATCAATGTGTTCCTTATCTTGGAATTGGAAGTAGACGAAGATGTTGCCGAAAAACATGCTGCACTGCAGTAGCGCCCAGAAGACGCCCGAGTTGCGTGATATCGTAGAGAGATCGCTGCATCGTGCCAAAAAGTTACCCTGACCGGTCCAAGTGATGGCGGCACCGGCGCCCAAAATACCACTCGACAAGTAGAGCAGCCAATTGGAGGGAAATAGAAAAACGAGCATGAATAGCCTGCGAAAAAATACGGTTAATGATAAATAGTTATTTGAGTCATTTAAATGGCTTTGCTTACGTATAAGTGAGTGAGCCCACCAACATGGCCACACGGGGACCTGTGAATGAGATGAAGGACGGCGCTAGCCAATTGCAAAGGGAAAATGTCGTATAAATAATCGCCAAACTGGTGTAGCCATCGCCGGTGAAATTATTGTCCTCCTTCGCAATGCTGTCTAGAATTGTTTTCTGAAAGAAAAAATAATGAGAATATATATTTAAATTGAGTTCACTTTTTGAGGTTGAAAAATAAATTAAGGCTGAGACAGGTGTTTTAGTTACTGTAACAAAAATAGTTTTTGAAAAATGTATAGCTTTATATTATGAACTAACTTGTTATCCCACATATTGATATATTCTGAGATTCACTGCAATATCTGTTTTTCGGTACCACTTGGGTTCCTTCGATATTCGATATAGGTATAGGAGATATAGGAACTTATCAGGAACCCGCCCATCCAGTATCGAAGAGCTCGATTTGACTTGTGTAACTAGAGAAACCTCAATACTGTCAAGGATATTATCTTCGCAAGATACATTTACATCTCTTCCTATCGTGTAACCTCGTCAAAACAGCACTTTTCTTGAGTCTTCCATTAGTTCACATCTATAACAACTTGATTACTGTCAGTAAAAAGAGGTTAGGTTTCTACGCACGATCCTGATGGGGCTTACCCCTGAGCTGCTAAAGGATATCGGAAGAAAAATTCCAGTAATCGCGCCGCTAGTTCACCTGTATGCCGGAAGATGTGAGAACCAAGGTTTATTAGCCTTAATATCGCAAAGGCATACCAGACAATCGCATGGTCCCTAATGGGATAATGTCCAGTTGAAACCACTACGACCTGGGAAAGCTTAACATTGCTGAGAATAAAGTGCTGACTAGACCTTTTGCAAAAAACCAACGATAAAACCACTACAATTTTTTCTTGAGCTCAAAATTACTTTCAATATTCTCAAAGAGAATACAGCTTTATAAATTTTTATATCCTTAAGAGGATATATTATGTTTGTCCCGAAGTTTGTATAAATAATATATGTAAAATATATATATAAGTGATCAGTGTGACGAACCGATATCCGTCTGTCTGTCCGTCTGTATATACGCGAAATAGTCACTCAGTTTTTGAGACATTGCTCTGAAATTTTGCACAGGTCCTTTTTTCATTAAGAAGCTGTTCATTTGTCGGAACCGCCGATACCGAAAAACTATAGTATATAGTTGTCATACAAACCGACTGATCAAAATCAAGTAGTCGACGTGTTTTCTAAATTTGTAAATTTTAAACATTGAACTCCATCGATAAATTGCGGATACACCTTGAACTATTTTAAAGTATAATTTTCGGCGCATTTCTTTGCGAGCGGCCACACGTACGTTATACCATACATATGTTATATTCATGTATATGTAACATAAAAGTTTGTGTGAAAATAAATGCGCATCAACTGAAATTACGCTATAAAATGTTAAAACAGTCGGAAGTGAGTTAAATGGCACAATTAGCATATAAATATCAGCAACGCGCTTGTTTTGCTGTTTCTGTTGTTTTTGTTGTTGTTGTTGCTGTTGTCGTCAATGCTAAAAAGTGATTGACCGCTAGCATGCAGGTCCATAATAGGAAAACAATATCTACTTATTTATCTATGCTGTGGACGTGTCAATGGACGGAAGTAAACTAGAATATGCAAAAACAATAGCAACGGCAACAATAAATTTATATAACTGTATCTTTTTATAAATAATTATACTAGTTGATATTAAGAGAATAAAGATAATTTGAAATTAACACCGCTATTATGGTTTTCAACTCCATTCGGTTAAGTTGAAGTTGAAGTAAATCAACTTTAGAACAACACAACTCTTCCTCTTCTTTTAAATAATGTGTATTGTGGATTCATAAATTATTTTCGTTTAAATAAGGAATTATTCTGATTTTTACTAAATGAGATGATGGAACGTTATCACAAACTCTCCATTTCCTTGCTGCCTACAGCCTTTGGACTGAACGAACCTAAAATATCTATGGTTGTTACAAAACAGGGGTTGAGTTGACAACTATAGTACCGAATCTCGGAACTTCAACCAAAATGCAATTGGGTTGAAAACCGTATTAGGGCCCTAAACATTCACAAAGCATTTTTGGAGGCATAAATTAATAAAGCAACAAAAGCAAAACATATATAACTATTAGCATTCAGAATGTATTTATGAATTTATAAATATTTATATTAAAAAAACCTGAACAAATATTCATTCAGCTGCCGTTGTTCATTGTTCAAACTCATTTTTTTGTAGATACCCGCAAACATGCGCTTACTTGGACTCTTCCCGGCGCAAGTCGATACTAAATGTTCATAAAAATTCCACGTTTGCATAGCCGTAAAGTTGTTTCATTTATTTTAAAACTTTTTGCAGCAGAGCGTGTTTTTCCAATTATAATTTTTGCGATCTCGAATTTTTAAAGGTGCAAAAGCCATATGTATGAGATCATGCGTTTAATGAGATGCCAAAAAGTATCACACTGGAGCATTGAACTGCGTTTATTTTAGAAGTGTTTTGTTGTTTTTGCAATAATTGGAGACGAGTTAAAGTATAGAAGTGTATTTGAGTACACGAATTGTGCAAGCAAGTCAGAAGTGCTGAACCAAGTGTCAATATAAAAGCTTAGAATCTATTTCAGTGATAACTCAGTGATAACTGAAATAAATTCTCAGTAAATTTAGCTTTAAGAACACAGTTGAGCCCCATATTGATGTTGTTGTAAGTCACTTGAGCTATGGGTTGATGTTCTTTATATATAATTATTATATATAATATTTAAATTTATAATAATAAAGTTTTCCATACAAAGACATGATTTTGATCGTTCAGTTTGTGTGACAGCTATATGCTATAGTGGTTCGATATCAGCGATTACTACAAATAGGCAGCGTCTTGGAAGGAAAAGGAAAAGTTTCAGAACCATATCTCAAAAACTGAGCGCGTATATACAGTCAGATGGACAGACGGACATAGATAAATAAATACATATGTATATTTTATAGGGTCCGCGACGTTTCATTCTGTTTGTTACACACTGCGTGGCAAACTTAGTAGATATACCTTCAAAGTATAAAAATAAAATGTTGAGTTTTAGCGCTCAGCTTCAGCAGTTATGCCAGTTATAAGTGTATCAGTTTATTGATGCAAAAGAGCATATTAAATTAACATTAATTAAGCTATATTAAGCATGACAAATGGAAAAGTGCAAATATACTCACATACATACCCACTCACAAGTATAAATTTATTTTAATGGCGTTATACATATATTGTATATTTATATAAGAAAGTAACTAAAGTTAAGTGAATATGAGAAATTCTAATCGAAGATGCCCGAACACAGTGTGGTGCAAAAATTAAGCAATTTCAATGCCGAATACATATTTCGTCGACCTGTTGAGTCGTGTATTAATGTTGTGGTTGAGGTTATATGTTTATAAAACTATTCAAAAATGATCGACAAAGTAAAGAAAATTATGCTAAAGCAACCTTCCGGTCCGGAATAATAGAACTAAATTTTCTTGATTTAAGAGTCAAATTGGATGGTGAAGGAGATGCTTGACTAAAAAATGTTATATTTTCATATTTTCTACATTTGGTTTCTTGTATAATTTTTTGTTTGCGATACTCAAATTCCTTCACAAAATCGATCGAGGCCAAATATGAATTAACTGGAAAACTGCTGACTATCCTAACCGATGCCTATAATAATAAATTTGTATATTTGGCTTGACTCAAAATGAGCCTCTCTTGAAGACGACAATCAGAATTTATATTAGAAACTAAAAAATATGCTGGGTCAGATAGGAAAAATCGCTGTGGCATTTCCATTCAAATAATTTTGTTAAAGCCAATCAAACAACAAATATACTTGTAATATATGACCTCCAAATTAAAAAAAAAAATAGATTGAAACAATTATGGAGTCTTTGAATACAAGTTAAATTTGACTCTAAAGAAAACTCGAAACGTATAGCAAGTATGATGAATCGATGATGACTGAGAGGAATAGTGAAAAGATATTGCAAGATTTCATTCATTTGCAACATCAATAGCTACAAAAGGTAGCGTATAATGATGAAATTGTAAGTGAGAAAATATATTGCTTCCTTTATAAAATCCATATCATTAAATTATACAATATTTTTTCTTATTAACTCTTAACGGAGAATCTAACTATAACATTAAATAAAAAGGGTTTAAGTGTGGGTCATCACTCTTACACCACACTGTATATACTTTCACAAAGCTTTAACTCGCAAACTATATACTTAGCTTGTTATTGTAGCTATGCGGTCCGCAATGTAGAGAAGTGAGATATCAAGTTGAAAATGTAACGCAAAAATTAAATTAATGACGCATCCATTACACACGCCAGAAGACCCAAAAGGATTGCTATAAATACTGTCAAGTGATGACTGTCACTCTTGCGACTGAAATTGTCAACAGAACGGGAAATGAAGATAAACAAACTGAAAGCAATCAGGAAAACTACTCACAAACCAGAGATGTCATAAAACTATGCAATTAATAGGTAACCAAAAGCTGCGCGTGTACATCATATACTTATATACATATTTGAGGGCGTAGCAAATTATGGAACTTCTCAGGTCCCAAAAAATGTTTCGAACCGAAATGTTTACTTATATTCAAATAATTGTTCATGGTTTTGCAGTGAATGAGTAGGTTCATGCTTACATAATATTTCTGGAATAATTTAAAACGATTTTTATTTTTTATACAACTCTCTTAAAGCGATATATTAGAAGCTGAGATAAAAAACCAACTCCCACAAAGGAACTAAAACCAGTATGAAGATTTGCCATGGTTTATTTCAACTTAATATATTTTACTTTCGGTAAAAAGAAAAGAAGGTCGTACGAGAGCAAAGAAGCTTTAATATTATGTTACGATGCTTCTTCTATTTTTCCCCTAAGAGTATTGCGCCAGTAATAAATACAATAGTTTTATTCTCTCCAAAAATACAAAAAGAGAGTTGCGTGCTTACTTTGTTGAAATTGCATCAAATCTGAAATATTTTGGACATCGTAATCAATATCTTCTTCATTGAATTGCAATACATCAATTTATAATTTTCAAGAAGAACCGGCTATTAGCCTTGGGCCCACATGATTCCTAATAA